AAAAAAAAAAAAAAAAGTTAATCAGTCCCAGACTTTGGTGCTTTAGTACTGAACTATTATTATTTCTACTAGCAGCCAGGAATAGTGGCTCATGCCTGTAATCCCCACACTTTTGTGAGGCCAAGCCAGGAGGAGATTGCTTGAGCCCAGGAATTTGAGATGAGCATGGGCAACATACGGAGACCTTGTCTCTAGAAAAATTAGCCAGGCATGGCAGTACATGCCTGTGATCCCAGGTGCTGGGGAGCCTGAGGTGGGAGGATTGCTTGAGCCACGGATGTTGAGGCTGCAGTGAGCCATGATTGGGCCCATTACACTCCAGCCTGGGTGACAAAGCAAGACCCTGTCTCAAGAAGAAAAAAGGTCTACGTGCAACACTCCTCTGAACTAACAGACACACAACTAGTGCACTTCTTGATATGTCAAAATACCAAGAATGAGAACTGCTGATACAAAATATAGTGGAACACAAAGAAAATGGCCCTTTGTGTCTGGGAAAAAAGGCAGGGGTCAGGAAAAACTTTAAAGAGAAAGTGATGCTTCAGCTGTCTTTAAATAGTAACAGAGTTGAGTCTTTTCTAGAAGTTCTTCTTACAGAGGGAAAAGTCCGTTTTCAGAAAACTGAAAGTTGTTTAGTATGGCTGGCGTGTATACTGAGCAAGCCAACAGAGAATAAATCTGGGGAACAAAGCAGCAGCAGATAGACTACAGAGGGCCTTGTAAACCAGATTTACAAATAGAGAGATCTGGAAGTCTGAGAAACGGACTGATTGAAGGAACAGTCATCTGCTTAGAGTGAACCAGGGAAAGCTCCATTAAAGATGATTTTTCAGCTCAGTTCAAAGAACGAGCAAGAGGTTTTAAAACTATAGTACTAATGGTCCAGGTGAAGGTCACTCAAAAAAAAAAAAAAAATAGAAGAAAAAAACTATGGTAATAATGGTAAATGGTAATAATAACAGTGAACACTAATATAGCACTTACTGTATGCTAGAAACTGTTCTAAGATTTTAACATCTAGTAACTTATGAAGACTTTAACATTTAGTAACTCATATCATACTTACTCCACGAGGTAGGTACTTCTGCCAATTCCCACTTTACAGATGAGTACACTAAAACAGAAATGAGCAACTTGTCCCTGGTCACATAGCTAGTAAGAAGTGAGGCAATGTAGCTACAGCCCTTGCTAATACAGGTAGCAAATAAAATACATACAGGGGACCTCCTTCAGCCAGAAAAAGGCACATACAAAGGCATAAAGATAAAAAGTGGCAAATTCTAGGAATAAAGTATCTAGAGAGAGTGAACATAAAACAAGGTTGCAGGCCACATTGATCTTCATTTTCCATAGGCATGAAGTTTTTCAGTAGGGGAATGACATGCCTAGACATGTGCATTCTGGAGATAATTTAGGCTACACTGTTGAGGATAAATGGGGGTTGAGAGGGCCACAGAGGTGTGAGATAGAGGAGGACTAGGAACATAGAGACTGCTAAAGAGGTTATTGGAAGAATCCAGACAAGACAGAACCAACAAAACAGGAAGGCTTCAGAGATTTTTTTTCCCAAAGGACTTGATCCAGTGAATGGATCTGAGGGGTAATAAAATTCAAGAAGACCCCAAGGTGCCTAACTTAATAATGTGATAAGCAATGAACAGTTAAGCACACAAGTCTGCAGAAAGGGTGGGTGTGAGAGAAAGATTAAGAGTTTAAGACATGCTAAGTTTGGAGTACACATAATGATTCTGAATAAATGCACCTAACAGACAGTTACGAAACAAGTCTAGGCCGGGTACAGTGGCTCACACCTGTAATCCCAGCACTTTGGGAGGCTGAGGTGGGTGGACCACTTGAGGTGAGGAGTTCGAGACCAGCCTGGTCAAAATGGTAAAACTCCAAATCTACTAAAAATGCAAAAAATTAGCTGGGTGAGATGGCACAGATACTTGGGAGGCTGAGGTGGGAGGATGGCTTGAACCTGGGAGGCAGAGTTTGCAGTGAGCTCAGATCACGCCACTATACTCCAGTCTGGGTGACAAGAGCGAGGCTCTATCTCAAAAAAATTAAAGTCCACTCAAATCAGCGTGTAAAAAAAAAAAACACACACAGGTAACCTCTGTCAGGGTAATTACTACAGTGTTAAAAAGAGTGGGCTTAAATGTGAGTGAGAAATGATAAGGTGCAGACAGTCAGCAGGAACAAAAATGTCAGCTGACAATCACTGTCCTTACTTTGAGTCAGAGACTGTCCTAAGTGTTTCTTGTATATAAGGTCATTGAATCTTTGTTAAATATTTCCATGTTTAAAGCTAGGCACAGTGGCATGCAACTACAGACTCAGCTACTTAGGAGGCTGAGGAGAACCGATCATTCGAGGGCAGGAGTTCAAGGCTGTACTGCACTATGATCCTACCTGTGAGAAGCTGGGGCAACACAGCAAGACCCCATCTCTTAAAAAACAAAACAAAACACTCCGTATTTTTAAAATCTCTATTGTTTTCTTGGTTTTACACAGTGGAAAATAGAGGCAGAGAGGTTAAAACAATTTGCTCAAGATCACATGCTGCATAACAATAAAATTGAAATTTTATCCCAGGCAATCTAGCTACCATTGCCATGGTAAACAAAATGTATTGAGTTTTTACTACATGACAGGTAAATCTTGAACTTGAAATAGTAGTTTTTTGTTTCGTTTTAGCTTTAAAGAGACAAGAGAGTTGCATGCAGCATGGAGGAAAGAGGTGGTAGTCTAACTGAAAGGAAGTACTAGAGCAGGGTTTCCCAGCTGCCACACGGGTGTCATCTGGGGCTGGATCAGTCTTGGTTATGGGAGTCTGCCCTGTGCACTGTGAGATGTTCAGCAGCATCTCCATCATTCATCTGCTAGATGCCAGTAGAACCCCTTCCTCCCAATTGTGACAAGCAAAAACATCTGCAGCCATCACCAAATTCCTAGGGGGTAAAACTGTCCCTGGTTGAGAATCACCAGATGAAAGTAGGAGAGGACCTCGGAAAGAGCAAGCTCTGGAGGACAGAACGGGGCCCAAAGAGCAAACTAATGTCCATATAAAGTGGCAATAATTTTGTTAATGATCAAACACAAAATTAATTACCTTTATGTCTGGATCTAACAGCTGGTTCTTCAGCAACTCAAAGTCATTTGTTTCACCCTTAACAAGAAGGGGAAAGAATTAAGTTATGTTTGCTTTTGTTTCCTGTTTATTATCAACAGGACTTTTAACCATAGTTTAACATCAGATGAAATTATAAAAGGAACACTAACTTTCACACATCAGCCATAATGATCTAATTCAGGAAGACCGAAGACAGTATTCACTCAAATGTGGATACAAATGGATATTACGTATACACATCCAGTCATTTCCCTCTACTGCTGAGATTTAGTAGAAATGCTCCTAACCTACCACAAAAACAAAAATCTCTATTCAGAGAACTGGCTTACTGTCCCAAAGTTGTGTTTCGGTAAGTTCCTCAAAAAATAAAATGCTGTAATTGTTTTTAACTCTAGCACTTGCTAAAGTTAAAAGATGCTATGTAAGTAAGGTATGTGAAAAGGTGAAACCTCAGAAAACACATTATTACTCTCACTTATGAAATGGGCCATGGTGGAGGGGAAAAAAGGGACATTATTACTTTAATTTTGAACTGCCAGCACCAAACTATTATGAAATATTTGATTTCAACTGGTATCTAAATTCATCTTACATTTCTACCGGTCTTTAGTATAACAGCAATAGTTGTATTCTGACCTGACCAAAAGCAAACTTCATACAATATCTCCTCTTACCTTTTTGTACTTCAGCAAGACTTCCGTCACGGTTCCACCAAACCGAACAGTTTTTCTTGGGGGAGAATTGAAAAAATCGTTTTCTAATGCAAGCATATTTGAAAGCCTGTGGAACCAAGATTAACAAGCTATTAAGTTCATGAAAATAATAAAATTATAATAGCCAACATTTATTGAGCCAACATCATTCAGTGGGGCTGTTGTTAAGGCCTCTTTACTGCTCTCCCTGCTTCCACTTTTCTCCAACAATTCCTCCTTTGCTCAGCAACCAAAAACTGTCTTCCCACTGCACTTATATTAAGAATCCAAATTTCTTAGTGCGGTCTTTAAGGTCCTACATTAATCTGGCCCCTGCCTACCTCTCTGACCTCATCTCCCAAGAACTTATTTTAACACAGCCATAATGTCTTTTGTGCTCTTCAAATATGTCAAGCTGGTTCTCATTTCACTTACTGTTCACTCTACTGGAAGTGCTCTTTTCCCAAATCTATATGGCTGGATTTTTGTTTGTTTGTTTGTTTTTTGCTTTTGAGACGGAGTCTTGCTCTGTTGCCCAGGCTGGAGTACAGTGTGGTGATCTCCGCTTACTGCAACCTCCGTCTCCTGGGTTAAAGCACTTCTCCTGCTTTAGACTCCCACGAAGCTGGGATTACAGGCACCCGCCACCATGCCCGGCTGATTTTTGTATTTTTAGTAGAGATGGAGTTTTGCCATGTTGGCCAGGCTGGTCTTGAACTCCTAACCTCAGATGATCCACCTGTGCCTTGGCCGCCCAAAGTGGTGGGATTACAGGAGTAGGCCACCAGACCCGGCTTAGAGTTTTGCCTTCATTCAAGTTGAAGCTCAAATGTCAGATGGTTTCTCCACGAGAAATCTCAAATATTCATTTTCTCCCTTCTCCATCGCCTATTACCCTGTTGTATAACTGAAATCATTGTGTTCATTTATTTATTGGCCTCTGTACTGCCTTTCCCCCCTAGGCTGTAAGCTCTGTAAAAAGCAGGGACATTCGTGTCTTTGGATAAACTACTTGTTCCCAGTATTTAATACAGTAAGCAGGAGCTCAAGAAATATTATGAATCAGGCCAGGCGCGGTGGCTCACACCTGTAATCCCAGCATTTTGGGAGTCCGAGGTGGGTAGATCACGAGGTCAAGAGATCGAGACCATCTTGGTCAACATGATGAAACCCCATCTGTACTTAAGTTACAAAAATTAGCTAGGCACAGTGGCGCTCGCCTGTAGTCCCAGCTACTCGGAAGGCTGAGGCAGAAGAATTGCTTGAACCCAGGAGGCGGAGGTTGCAGTGAGCCAAGATCGAGCCACTGCACTCCAGCCTGGGTAACAAGAGCGAAACTGTCTCAAAAAAAAAAAAAAAAAAAAAAAAAAAAAAAAAAAAAAAAAAAAAAAAAAAAAAAAAAAAAAAAAAAAAAAAAAGAAAGAAAGAAATATTATGAATCATATTATGCTAAATGTTTTACAAGGTCTGCTTCATTTGCACAGAGTAAATTAATGAAAAAACATAGCATCCTAATGACTCTGAAAGTTAAACCCCAACTGTGCTATGCGGGTTAGGGATTTTAAAAGTGGAACAAAAATAAAGACTGCTAAACAAATATGTATGTCGAAACAAATTTCAAACCAAAAAAACTGTAATATTTTATTAGCCATGATTGACAACACTGAGCGGATAAACCAAATAGCCCAGAGATTCCCTTCCAAGAAGCGGGAAGGAAGAGGAGTCAAGGCGCAGAGAAGGCAGTACCCAGGCCTGGGAAACCACCAAAAAACCTAGTCGGGAAAGGGGGCCTCCGGAACAGAGAATATACTTACTTTTCCAGCCCCCTCCCGTCTATTACCCACTTAGAGGAATGAGCTCACTCCTGCGAAAGTGAGATGGCCCTCGATCCCCAGCTCCTACCCAGCCATTAGCTTTGTCCCAGACCCTTTCAATCCGCTCCCCAACGCCGTGTCCTGAGCTTTGGTCTGGACGCGCAGAAGGAAGCGGCATGGATCTTACCCGGTCCTCGACGTGCCCAGCGTATTGACTGCAGAGGCCGAAGCAGCCGTATCTCCCGGCAACCGCGTGTGAAGCAGCGGCGCCGCCATTGGGCCGAACCAACGCGACTTCAGCACCCCACGCCGGATGCGCGGTGCCTTCCAGCCACAGCCCTCTGTCCCGGAAGTCGCACGAGTTAGCGCAACCTTCAGCCAATCAGAGCCCCCGCTTGGGGAGAGCGTATGCTCTCGGCGGGCTAGAGCGCCGCCAAAGTCATCCCCTCATGCTACTTGGAGGACTTTTACCGCCCAGCGAGAAAGCGCAAGGGTAGAGACTAGAACGGCCCGCTCCATCCAGCCCTGAGGATTCCAAAGAAAGGGTGAAAGCACCCTGGAGGTGTTAAGCTGTGGCCGAGTACACGCGAGTGTTAATGTGTTGGAGTCAAAGCCTCCGTCAGTCAAATCGAAGAAACTGAAGCCCTGTGATTAACCCAGATCCTCACGGAGGAAAGGGGATTCAAACCCCGCTGACCCAGGAGCCTGGGCTCTATACTCAATGCAGCATCCTCAGAGACACTCAAGATAACGTTATCTTCATGGAAGCGAGGTCTACGAAGTGACCTACCCCAAAGCCTCAAGGCTGTGATAATGCTGGCATGAGAAATAACAGGAGTTTCCAAATGTCACCCCCTGACCTTTTTTTTTTTTTTTCCTGAGATCGAGTCTTGCTCTGTTGCCCAGACTGGAGTGCAGTGCTGTGATCCGGCTCACTGCAGCCTCCGCCTTCCTGGTTCAAGCAATTGGCTTCAAGCAATTCTCGTGCCTCAGTCTCCCGGGTAGCTGGCATTACAGGCGCATGCCACCATACCCGGCTAATTTTTGTATTTTTAGTAGAGACCGGGTTTCACTATGTTGTTCAGGCTGGTCTGGAATTCCTGACCTCAAGTGATCCACCTGCCTCGGCCTCCCAAACTGCTGGGATTCCAAGCATGAGCCACTGTGCCAGGCCGAACTTAAACTTTTAAAAGAGGAACATGAGTTAGCCCCACCAACAAAATAGCAATGGATGTTCTAAGCATAGGAAACAGAGGAAAGAGCAGAGGCCAAGACCTAGGGGCTGTGGGGGATGTAGAGGGAGAACAGGGGCTGCCCCTACCCTCTGGGAGGGGAAAAGGTTGCAACTTTGGAAACTGTACAGGCCTATCAAAAATACCCAGCCTGGGTGACACAGTGAAAGCTCATCTCTACAAAAAATTTAAAAATGAAAATAATAAAAATTATGTGGGTGTGGTGGCACACACCTGTAGTCCCAGCTACTTGGGAGGCTGAGGATTGCTTAAGCCCAAGAGATGGCACCACTGCACTCCCTCCTGGGAAACAGAGCGAGACCCCATCTAGAAATAAATAAATTTAATTAATTAATCAATTTTTTTAAAAAATGTATATGTGTGGGCCAAGCCCAGTGGCTCACGCCTCTTATCCCAGCACTTTAAGAGGCCAAGGCAGGTGGATCACCTGAGGCCAGGAGTTTGAGACCAGCCTGGCCAACATGACGAAACCCTGTCTCTACCAAAAATTACAAAATTAGCCAGGCGTGGTGGCGGCACCTGTAATCCCAGCTACCCGGGAAGCTGAGGCAGGAGAATTGCTTGAACCTCGGAGGCAGAGGTTGCAGTGAGCCGAGATCAGGACACTGTACTCCTGCCTTCGCAAGAAAAGCAAAACTCCATCTCAAAAAAAAAAAAAAAACGAGAGTGTGTGTGTGTGTGTGTGTGTGTGTGTGTGTGTGTGTGTGTGTCTGTGTATCTCCAGGAGTTCAAGACCAGCCTGGGCAACATAGGGTGGCACATACCTGTAGTGCGAGCTACTCAGAAGCTTAGGCAGGGGGACTGCTTGAGCCCTGGAGTTAAAGGCTACAGTGAGCTATGATTGTACCACTGTACTCCAGCCTGGGCGACAGAGCTATACCCTATTTCACAAAATAAAATACAGCAATTTGGTTTGGTTTTTTTGAGACGAAGTCTTGTTCTGTCACCCAGGCTGGAGTGCAGTGTCACTACTAAAAAATAAAAAATTAACTAGGTACAGGGGCAGATGCCTGTAATCCCAGCTACTCGGGAGGCTTAGGCAGGAGAATCACTTGAACCCGGGAGGCCGAGGTTGCAGTGAGCCAAGAATTCACCATTGCACTTCAGCCTGGGAGACAGAGCAAGACTCCATCTCAAAAAAAAAAAAAAAAAATTCTGAGTCTGGGTATGATGGCTTCTGCCTGTAATGCCAGAGCTTTGGGAGGCCGAGGCAAAAGAACAACTTGAAGCCAGAATGAGACCAGCAGGGCAACAAAGCCAGACTCCGTCTCTACAAATAATACTTTTTAAAAAGTTACCCAGGCATGGCAGCACATGCCTGTAGTTCCAGTTTTTTGAGAGACAGAGGTGGGAGAATCACTTGAGCCTAGGAGTTGGAGGCTGCAGTGAGCTATGACTGAGCCACTACACTCTCCAGCCTGGGTGACAAAGCAAAATCTCATCTCTGGAAAAAAAAGTTTGACACATAGAAAAGAATATGTTAATGTAAGTTATAAAAACATAATGAGGCTGGGCGCAGTGGCATGCATGTCTGTAATCTCAGCTACTTGGGAGGCTGAGGCAGGAGAACTGCTTGAACCAGAGAGGTGGAGGTTTTGGTGAGCAGAGATCATGCCATTGCACTCTAGCCTGGGCAACAACAGCAAAACTCTGTCTCAAAAACAAAAAATAAAAAATAAACATAACGAACCATCTCAAAAATAAAAAATAAACATAATGAAGACCTGTGAATGTACCACCCAATTTAAGCAGCCAAACATTAACCAGGACAATTGAAGCTTACCGTGTGCTGCTCTGGGATCCCACCCTCTACCTGCTTTCCTCCCGAAAGTAGTCACAATCATGATTTTTTAAAGTCATTTCGGCTTTTCTTCGTGTAGTTACCATATTTATACTCCTAAACGATGCACTATGTTTAGTTTTATTTCTTTTCGCATTTTATAAACTTATTTCCCTGCTGTATTATACTGCTGTTTGTTTTCAATATGATGCTTTTTTTTTTGGACGGAGTCTCCCTCTGTTGCCCAGGCTGGAGTACAGTGTCATGATCTCGGCTCACTGCAACCTCTGCCTCCCGGGTTCAAATAATTCTCCTGCCTCAGCCTCCCAAGTAGCTGGTATTACAGGCACCTGCCACCACACCTGGTTCATTTTTGTATTTTTAGTACAGATGGGGTTTCACTATATGTTGGCCAGGTTGGCCAAGAACTCCTGACCTCAAGTGATCTACCCACCTCAGCCTCCCAAAGTGCTGGGATGACAGACATGAGCCAGCACACCCAGCATTTTTTTTTTTTTTTAATAGAGAAAAGGTCTTGCTATGTTGCCCAGGCTGATCATGATCTCCTAGGCTTAAGGGATCCTCCCACCTTGGCCTCCTAAGCAGCTGAGACTATAGGCCTGCATCACCATACCTGGCTGATCTTTTTAAATTTTTTTAATAGAGAAAAGGTCTTGCTATGTTGCCCAGGCTGATCTCAAACTCCTGGGCTCAAGCAATCCTCGCACCTCAGCTTCTCAAAGTGCTGACATTACAGGAAAGAGCCACCACGCCTGGCCTGAATATTTTTGTATAGTTTCCTGTTGCACGCGTACCAGCATTTTTCTAGGGTGGAACAGTTGGGTTGAAGGGGGCACAAAAGGCTTTTGGGAAAGGAGAAAGGAACAAATTGGATATCTACCATTGGTTTTCCTTTTCTTCTTTT